ACACATTGTTGTTTTTAGCCTTTTTTAAAAAGCCAGTTCTTTTTCTTTTGTGTTTCAGAAAAACTCGGCACAAGTGAAACTTGCTTGTACTCTCCAAGTGTTGTAACCAAATACGTGACTTATATCGATGAGTTCCCAAAAAAAGAAAAAGAAACCCACATACCTGAAGAATGTAAACTTTTTGGAAGGGAGGGCGTTGGGGAGGGGTGTTTGTGGTTGTTATTTTGTTTTGGTTTTTTTAACTTGCTTCATCATTAAAGACTGAGTTGTGGGCAGTGCCTGTGGTATTGATATATTTAATCTTGGCATACCTGTTCTTAAAGAGCTTATTGTTTTACATGTGTTCATAGAAACAGGCTTCTGCATTTGCTCAGGGTATCCCAACATGTCAAGCTCTTTTTTTTTGCCTTTTTTTTTTTTTAAATAAGTGTATCTCCTCATTGACTTTTGTTGCACTCTACTTGCACATACGCCTATTTACATTGCACCATCCTTTGTAAAGCTGTTGTTACTTTTACATTCTGGGTTAGGAGAGGTTGAGGGGAAGGAGAGAAGCAGGAGGGGAAATTCAACCAAACCACGTCCACCAGCATTGTGCAGTTGGCATTCAGAAGGACCAGTTGTGGAACCTCATCATTTGGAATGTAAAACGCAGTTTCACTCTCCATCTGCTCCGTAAGGAATAGTGTGCTTCCTGCAAGGGCCGGGCAGGGCACCCGCTCGGAGGCATCGCAGGCAGTGAACAGGAAAGCATTTCAATACATCCAGAGCAATTCACGCTGTGGCAGCTTCCTTAAGACCTAAAAAGTTCACCAGAGACATGTTGGTCTGTGAACGTATCGGTTGGCTTATGATGCAAGCGTTTGCGTGTTCTGCTTTTTTTAAAGCAAAGATTTAAAATACCGGCTTTAGTCTGGCTCGAAGATACGCCCTTCAGCAATTAGCAGGCACGGCGGCGTAGGAGGGCGAGTCCCGCACCTCTGCAGCCAGGGTCGTCGCTATCCTAACGGAAGCGACGGGCGAGGGCTGGCTTGGTCCTGCGCCACGCTGCGTCCCCGCCGGCGCGCGGGCCCGTGGGCTCGGGGCCTGGACAAGGTCAAGTGCTTGTAAATAAGGATCTGGGTGCGTTGGTGGAACCGCGCCTGGAAGCCGGCGTTGCGCTGACCAGGCCTAGGCAATGCCGTTCCTCTCGGTAGTACCAAATTCCGAGTGGTTGGAACAACGATAGCAGAGGTTTCTTTGCTCGCCTCACGGGGCAGAGGGTAGGAGTCACCTCACTGCTGAGAGCTGTAGTGACTGAAACTAAACCATGACGGCTGATTTGCAACAGTGTTACTAATCAGTTCTTTTAATTAGATTTATAGCACTTCACCACCACTCTCCCTGCGAACATCGCTATGGAGTACCTTACGCGAGTCTCCGCTCCGTATTTATTTTTGCAACGCTGTCTGTAGGTGTAGCTCTTTTCCTTCGGTGAAGAAGTTGGTGAAGGGGGGTGGGGGGGTGGGAGTTTCTTCGGTTTTGTGTTTTGTTAAGCTTGCATCAAGGGCTGTTCAAAAGTACAATAATAAATCCTCAGGTAGTACTGGGAATCGATCCTTTACCTGTGAGACTGTTGGTCAGACCAGTACTTGAAAGGAGGAATGTTGTAATCAGTCAGTATTTAGTTATATTATTGGAAACATGAAAAATGAGTATAGAAAAATGGTAATATATTATGGCTCATCTGTGTATTTAAGATACAGTATGTGATTGCTTCGTCCCCACTATTCTCTCCATCCTCTGGTAGAATATTGTTCTAAGGCGACATTTGTACCCCGTTTGTATTAAAATGCATGTAAAGTCTTCTAGTGTCCCGATTAAATACCACGTGCTTGAAAGGTGAAAGCACTTCTATTTCTGCTTACTGATGTGCCCAAATTATATTTGCATGAACTGATCATTAAGTGGCTGTGGTTCAAAGGGTGTTGCTGAAAGTATCTGCGTTCAGCGATAGACTGATTTGGTGTTTATCAGTAACATGTACTCGCCTAATACTTGGCATGAGTTCCTCTTGAATTGCTGCGTACTCCGTGTAGCCCGGTTGTTGAGCATGGTTCATTTCAGCTGAGTCAGCGTAGTACAGACATTCCAGAGTTCAGCCAGCCCTGTTCACCCCTCGCCGCTTGCGGGGGGCAGCAGCCCGGGGCAGGCAGGGCAGGGGCGGGCAGGGCAGGGCAGGGCAGGGCAGGGCAGGAGGGGCTGCGCCGCCCGCGGGGCTCGCCCGCCGCTTCGGCAAGACGGCGGTAGCGTGCTTCCATCTGCAGAAACACTCGACGACAGAGACACCAACCTCACCTCTAGACCGTGCCCAAGAGGGAACCTTTTAAATTCTAGGCTTGACAGGAAAGCAACGCCGCCTTCCTCCGAACCCAGAATAACCCCCGGCAACCGATTCTCACAAGAGAAAGTTTCTGCAGATGCTACGCAGACCTTTGAACGCCCCCCTTCCTGCCCGCGCGTTTTGCCCTTCTTTCATCCGGGCCTGGCCCCGTCCCGGGGGGACGCCCCGCCGGCCCGGGGAGGGGGGATGGGTCTGCTGATGCTGAAACTCTGAACCGTAAACATTTTTGTTTTGCTTTCCTGTATGTGTATGTAGTAGTTCGGGTGTGTATATACAGTAGTGTTTCACAGTGGGTGTATTGGTTAACCTATTATTGGAAAATGGACAAATATCCATGTTAAACTTGTTAGAAAGGTAGTGAGCTGCTCTGCTATATGCCTTAAGCAAATATTTACTCATCAGGTCTTTCTTTTTTACAGATTGCCATAGAATAAACTTTTTTAAAAAAATAAAAAACCAAAAAAAAGCTAAATGTTTTGGTATAATACATTTTCAGGTATCTTGTCTTTTGTGTAAGCCGCTACAAAGACCTCACAGGTTATAGTAAAACTGTACAGTTTTTCAATTTCCCATACAAGTTTTCAGTTCTCATTTTAGTTGAAACAATAAAATTCTTTTTTTAAAGAACGTCCACGAGAGTCTTATTGCTTCCCATCTTCTCAGGGCTTTCGACTCACCTGCGACTCGGGGCTAGCGTGGTATTTGGTGGGGCTTTTTGTAGAGGAAAGGTGCTTTAAGTGTTACTGCAAGAACTCACCTGGAGGGCAGAGCTCCAGCAAAAGAGAGTAAGTGAAATGAGTGTCCCGCGCCTCTCCCCAGCACATCCGCCTCCCTCCTCTCACTTCAAACAGTTAAATTTGAACTGCCTCGGCCCACGGATCAGTGTAACGTAAGCAGCGTGGCAACTCTCAAGCATAAACGTTCTGCAGGAGTCTGGGTCGTGCCTCAGCGGGAAGCTGGGCCGGGCAGGGACGCAGCAGCCTGCCTGGTTGGGGCACAGCAGCTGCAGCCATCAGCTTCCCACCTCGTTTGGCGTAAAGCATTTACCTCCTTGTTTGTGTTTTTAAGGAAAGCTGCAAGGGGAGGAGAGAACTCGCAGTAGTTTCATAAAGTGGTATTAAAAGAGCCGAGGGGGTTCCAGGCGCTGCCCCTCGGGCGCTCTCGCTGCCGCACCCTCGGGGTTGAAGCCTGGCTCAGGCTTGGACAAAAAGAGCCTGGGCTGCCCTCTCTCTCCCAAGTCACCAGCTTTCCCCTTCCCCCTGCCAGCGCAGGGGAGAGAACTTACCCAAGCAGAACGGCTTCTCTTCCCTGCTTTTAAATAAAGCCCCAAGTGAAAAGCAGAGTTCTGTACAGAACAGCAGCCCATGGAGTTGGGCTTTGCCGTAGAGCGGCACGACCCGAGCACCACCGTCCTGCTCTTCAGAGCTCATCAGTAAACAGACTTCAACTCCCCCGGTCCAAACTGAGCAGCGGCAGCGGAAGGGGAGCTCGGCCGGGTTCGGCCTGGCCCTTCCACAGGGGGACGGCAGAAGCGGGTGCCCGACGCACCGCCCGTCGGCTAGGAGACGCATCAGCCCGGTACCCGAACTCCCCGCGGGGCTTTATTGCCTTACACCTCCTCAGGCTGCTGCGAGCACAGCCCTCGGAAGCACTTGCAGGAACTTGTCTCAAACGTTTTATTAGAATTTTAGAAAACAGGATGAAATCCAACAAATAAATACTGCATAGAAAAGATATATATATAAAAAAAATAGATATATACACACAAGCCAAACCCTTTCAAGTATTTTACCTGAAGCCAGGCTTCTCTTTATGGCTACCCTCCACTAAGTTGAGTAAGCGGTGAGTAAGGAGCCTGACAAGGGGTGTACGATTATGAGAAGTCTTGATCTAGGGCTAAAGGAATAAATTTAAAAAACCAAACCAAAACCAGCCGACCGCCTTCCAGAGAGCTGGCAAATACGATGCCTCCCTTCCGCTGTGAACGGCCGAGGACACGCGCTCAGCACGCGTCCCTGCCAGTCCTTGCTCGAACCTGCCCTGAGTTGCAGAGATTACGAAGAACTTGGCTTTTGAAGCAGCAAGCTTTCCTTCTGCAACTAAATCGTACAAGAAAAGGCAACCACCCAGCAATGCTGCTAGATTTTCCTAAGGTACCTGGCAGCTGATGTAAGTGATCCGTTGCCTGCTAGTTGCTGGATGGGCTGTTGGAGAGCCATCATTCCTCTCCTCTCTGAGAAATAGCAAATTAATAAAATACTTTATGGGAAAACAGATCCTATTTGACTTGCAGTTTGAGCAGGGGCAGGTAATTCCAGCGAGATGGGGACTTTAACTCAAGTGACAGCCTGGTTCCGCATTCTAAGCGCTCCTCGGTTTTCTTCATCCAGCACTTGGTATTTCATCACGTGCTGAGAGAGGGAGAAAATGCGTTCCGTCCGCTGGGCGCAGGCCGCACGCTCTGCCCCCTTTGGAAATAACCCTGCGCTCTGTCAGGATGCGGCATGTACGCAGCAGGGCGTCGGTAAACCAGAGACTGATAAACAACAAAAGAAAACCCTCGGGCACCCAGATGCGGCCGTGAGGACAGCACGAGTCGGCTCCTCACGTTCCGCGGCTAGAATACTGTGATTTCAATTTCAGCCTCTTGTTGCACAGTTTCTCTTAATTCACAGCAAATCCTGTCCATTTTCTCAAAGGCTTGCCGTCCCTTTTCACCTATGGAGAAGGAGAAAATATATCCCGTGCTGAGGAAGAGAAAGCAGTCAGAAACACCCCGAGAAACGCGATGCTCCCGAACTACTTCTGTTGTGACCCGGTTCGGAACCAAGCAGAACGCTCAACACCGACAAACGCATCTCTAAGGGAGTAGTTTTCCAAAAAGCGCTGGAAGCCACCATGGAAAATCAGGCCTTCTGTAAACATTTCCACATGAGTAACAATTTGGAGCATCACAGTTGGAAAACTTGTTTTGTCATACGCGTGAATCTGAGTGTTTCTGTGAAGCAAGCCTGGAGATCCCCAGAACTAAGCAGAAATCGAAGTGTTTTTAGGAAGAACAGAACAGGGAAATTACTGTTTCCTAGACAAACTGGACATCCTCGCTGGCAGCTGTGCATTTAAGGTATTTAGCCTAGGCAATTCTCCTTTGCCCTCAGTGGAAGGACAAATACCGGACAGTGGCAGATGGGGAACGCTGACACTTCGTTAGCAGCTCAGCTGCACTGTAGATCTCCTGAATTCAGGTGAAGTAACTTGTAACAAACCAGTATAAAACCATTTTGTTTGTACTCTTTACCCCTCCGGCATTCAGAGCGGGACCATTTGAAGCAGCATAGGAACAGCAAAATCCGAAGTAACCGGTCAGTTTGTAGGTGGCTAGAAGAGGTTACCAGACCCCAGCGTCTGTTGCTGTTCTGGTATATATAAAAGATCTTTAAATCAGCTTAGCTGATCTCAGAGCTAGAGGAGGCTTCGTTGTGAGCTGCCAGGTTCAAGTGTCCTTTTCACAAAATCTAGGAGAAGGGAATTGCTGATGCCAGCGCTACTCTTAGGAAGTACTCCAGCAGCACTGTCAGTACTTATCCGCCACCTTTCTCAGAAGTTTAGTGGTTCTTAGAGCACTTTATCCTACAGTATCTCCTTGGTCTGGTTCTACAAGCTTTAATGGGAGCCTTCGGTTATTATACGCGGTACAGAGTTTACCCTAACGGTATGAAGTAGCTGTATGTGAAATATTTCCATTGCCCTGGATGTGTTCAGGCTGAGCTTCAGGCCTGTTCCGGTTCTGCGCTATTTCACATTACTTGTTCAGAATCTATATTTTAAAGCTGTACGGAAGACTTACCAAAGGACAGCGTCGTTTCCCTGGCGGCATTCC